TTCTTAGCATGACCCTAAGAGTCAATAGGATCTACTAGAGATTTCACCTTGAGAGAAGAGTCAAACCCTGGGGGAAGGAAGAGGTATTAAAAGTCTTCAAGAGAAGGAATAGTGATCCATCCTGACTTTATTCTTTGAGTACTGCTTATTTGACAAAATTTACCAAGAAAAATAGAAAAATAACAATGGGGGTGTAGGTTCAATGGGGACACTGGAGGGAATGTGGATAGGGGTAACTAATACTAGCAATATTTGAACTATTCATTTGAAAACTTACTATTTTATAGGCTTCATGGATGGGTAGGTAGACAGACAGACAAATGAACAAACAAAAGTTTAAATGGAGTTGTTCTACACAGAGGTTAATTCTACTCCAAGAAGTCATCGATTAGCAAGCAAAAAGCCATGTATGGAATACCTCCTTTTTATTTGTTGATCAATGAGACCCCAGAGACCACCAAAAGCAACACAAGCTATTGTCATTGTTCCCAGTTGCCCACCAGAACTTGATTGTAAGACCCTATTACTAAAGACACCATACACTGGACACAAGACATAGAAAAATCAAACTGATACAGACCAGGAAGCTTCCTCCATGCTTGATAGCTTTCATAGTACCAGAAGGTGCCATGTAGGCCTCAATGAAGAAAAATCAAGATCTTGCCCAGCTGAGAACACTGTGAGCTATGATAATGATCCTTGAAAGATTTGTCCATGAGTACAATAGTGGTATGAATGCTGTGTGAGGAACCAACTGTTTTCTAGTTGGATTTAAGACCTCTCTCTACAGGAGTAAACTCAGGTCTGTTGCTATAAATCTGGCCAAGAATCCATGGCTGGGGAGCTCACATGACCTAGGGGAAAAACTATTACTATTATTTTACTAAGTTAACATAGTGCCAAATTACCTTCAAAATACTCTCTGCACTCACAGTGCAGTTCTCAATCCTCCTCAAAATGAGCATCTTTTTGCAGTGGACAATGGTTAATACAGATACTCACAACTTGTCAAAGTGCAGAGAATGAAATGTGTCTATAAAATGCTCTGCCCTAAAAGAGACCTCTGTATCACACTTCCTGTACACTTCCTGCTCAGGGAATGTCACAAAAGAGTGAGCAGAAAGAGTAGAAAAGACAGAGGTTAAGGAGGACCAGAGCAAAACAATGTCTTCTGGACCTGGCAGGGCTATTGCACTCATTTACTCAAGTAGCTATGGCTGTGTGCACAACACCTGGGCATGATCAAGTTCATCAATATCCCAGCAAAACGAGGGGAAAGCTCTTAAGCCCCACCCCTAAGAAGAGGAGCTTTGGGCAGCTGGGGTGAAGGACATGGAAGAAGGATCCAGGAGGACTTAGAAGGGAAGTCCCCAGGAGAAGATGATTAAAATATATTGTATACATGTTTGAAATTCTCAAAGAATAAATTAAAATGTGAAGAAAAAAGACTTTACCATAAAGCTATAGAAGGAAATTTAGCTAAAATTGCCAATTATTACAATTTCCCTGACCTTTTGGCACACACAGTGGGACCACAGAATTTCTGGTGTGTGTGTGTCTGTGTGTGTGTCCATCTCTCTGTCTGTGTGTGCGTGCGTGCGTGCATGTGTGTATGTGCATGTGTGTGCGTGCATGCGTGTGTGCATGTGTGCGTGTGTGCATGTATGTGCATGCGCACGTGTGTGTGTGTGTGTGTGTGTGTGTGTGTGTGTGTGTGTGTGCTATGTGCACACCCATGTCCATAAATTCAGAGGCCACAGCAGGATGTCAGGTTCCTCCCCATCCTTCTCAACCCTTTTGCCTGGAGGCATCGTCTCTCACTGAACCAGAAGCTTACCACTTTCACTGAGGGGCTAGTTAACAAAGTCTCAGGACCCACCCAACTCTGCCGCACCTTCAGGATTGTGGGAACAGCCTAGGGATTCAAACTCCTGTCTTCACACTTTGCAGAATAAGTACTCTTACTCACTGAGACATCTCTTCCAGCCATCTCTTGGCTTCGGTTGGCCTTCATGTCTAAATTACTATTGTTTATTAATGACATTTATATTAACTGTCCCTACTCAAAACAGAAATTATGTTTTAACATTAACATTGAAATACTTAATCTTGATGGGAACATCACCAGGATATGTAGCTGGAAGACAGAAAATGATAGTATGGAGAAAGGGTTAAAGAACAGTATAAGAACTGAAAAGGTGCGTGTCAGAGCCAAGATCAGAGATGAGAAGCAAGTAGAGATGGAGACACAGGACTGGGGAGACAGCTCAGCTGATGGAGTGTTTGCTTCTTCCAAGGACCTGAATTCAGTACCCAGAAACAATGTATTTTAAAAAGTGGGCATGGTAGGGAGGTGACACATGTTTGTAATGCCATTGTTGGGAAAAGTGAGACTGATGCGTCCTTAGGGTTTGTTAGCCAGTGAGACATCTTGAGGAGGGAAGGGGAGAGGGGAGTGAAGAGAAGAGGAGCAGAGGGGAGAGGGGAGGAGAGGAGAAATAGTGCCTAAGCCTGAGGAATAACACACAATACTTCTGGCATACACCCACATGAACATACACCACACACACACACACACACAAGAGCCTACCTGTGTACATGCACGAACATGACACACACATATAAAATATGGGGGGCGGAGAAAGAGACAAAGAGGGACACAGACACAGAAAGAGATCCGGAAAGCCAAGGGATGAAGAAGGCAGGCATCATGCTGGCAACAGATGCAATAAACACTGCCTGAGTGTCTCTCGATGTGTCTCTGATCTTCACAACCCTGAAAACAGTGAGGCTATGCAATGGTGAGAGCATAGGTTTTAAACTTGGTAATGAGTCTGACACTCAAGGCAAGTTACACGTTATCCTAAACGAGTGCTACTATCGTATCATTTTGTAGGTAACAGAATTGAGACGTAGACTGGATCAGTAAATTACTAGGGAAGTAAGGAATGAAAGCAGGACTTGAACCTAGGAATCTGACACCAAGGCCCTACCTAGCTCTTAGCTACCAATCTTGGCTAGACTGCAGCACTTACTCATCTCCTCTTGCAGCCTCTCTCCTGAGACCCAGTCACCTAAGAAGCACTTCATGTGTCATCTTATTAGTAACTGCCACCAGCCAGGTGCCCACAAAACTAAAGCCCAGTGTGAGGCTGGAAGCAGGGATACCAAATGCAACACCAATGGATACGCTGAGCTTTAGAAAAGGGCTTGAAAGGCTGAGAAGATGAGCAAATCACACTGCTTTCAGTTCACTACATAACATTCTTGAGTGATAATGAAAGGAGGAAAGGAAGGACAGTGGCTAGTAAAAACCACCACCGTTGGCACTGACTTTGGAAGGTGGCTGCCTTCTCCATATCCAGATTGGTAGCTGTGTCTAAAACTGGACAGCAGGTGGAGACTGGCTCCCAAACAGATGTGGGAACAGCTTCGAGGAACGAGAGTTCATGGGAAATTACACAGGAAGGAAAATGGGTGGTCTGCACCAAGGCTACGTCTCCAATACCAGTTATCCCAAGTGGTTAAACGCCCCATCTCCCTCTTGCATTAATTGTTTATGGCCTTATTCATTCTTTCGTTCTCTGTGAACTGATTCTCCTCCCCATCCCTTTTCTTTCCTCTCCCTCAGTCCTGTCTCTGGACCAACTCATGGTCATCCACTCAGTAAAGACTGTTGGATTAAAATAAATTCGAGGTAAGCTACCTGAGGGTCGGCCCAGTGGCACAAGCCAAAGCTAAGTTTCCAATGATCACTGAAGAGGTGGCCAGGTAACCACACTCAGCACTCCATGATCACTAGGAGGTACCTCTGTAACACACTCAGCATTCTCAGACTCAAACACCTATCCCTCTAGTGCAAGAAGATGCTTCTTCAGTTCCCACGAGTCATAGCACTCTCATCTTGAAACTGGGGTCATCTCCACTTCCCTCTTAACTTCCCCACAGAAACTGACCTCTGCGGTGCTGTTTCTGCCATCAGCACTCAGACTCTACCCTCACCACTGCCTTCCTTCAGACATGCACCTCTTTCTCTTTTTTCAACCAGTCTGTCCCACTTTCCACTTTCATTCCGCCACTCCACTAATTCATCCCACCCTCTGTTGTCACCATGTAGACACCTTAGATATGGTCATACCAAATTTGTAATGGTCACTTGCGGGCCTGGAGGGAAGGTTCGGTGGTTAAAAGCACTGGTTGCTCTTGCAATAAACCGGGGTTCAGCTCCCAGCACTCATGTGGAATACGTGAGCTCACTCAGCGGCTCACAACTTCTGTGCCTCCACTCTCGGGGATTCTGAGCCCTCTTCTGGCCTCTGTGGACACTAGCTAGACATGCTGGGCACACAGATTCCTGCAGGCAAAACTCTCAGACATATTAAAAAAGATGAAAAATAAAAATGTTTTAAAAACAACCACTTGTGATACCCCAGTGACTGGCTATCAAGATGAATTTCCTGGGCCTGAGTTCAAGTCCTGTATCTGGGTAGCTCCTTTTACTACTTTATTTTTTTTTTGCCAGTCTCCCATTGCTACAGTTGTAGCCCAGTTCCAACTGTAAACCTCCCTGGCCTGGCCTTTGACAGGGCCAGAAAGAACCTCTGAAAGGCCTTTCCGTACAGCAGGATCTGGGGTTAACAAGACTGGTCAAAAGTGGTCTGGAATGTTACACTCACTACTTAAATGAAGAATATTAACCTTGGATACCAAGAGGTGACTACTCCCTGAGTGAGGGAAAAAAAATCATTAACTTCCCACCAGTAGCACATAGAGATGGAGGGGAGGGAGACAGGGGAGGGGAGGGAGAATTTATGCAGAGACACTGGTAAAATCATCTTTGGACTTTGGCTGGCAAGTATGAGAAGATAAAAGATACTTCAGAGTCTCATATGACTAAAATCTGGAAAAGAGAGTAGAAGTGATTGACCCCACAAACTTTCCAGAAAGGTGAAGGGGAAACAGTTGGGAGAGTCTAGGGAAGCAACAGACCACAGGTTTACCGGTGGCCAGCTTTTCCGTTCCTAGCAGTCACGAGCCTTCTGCCCTCTGAGCCTCGACCGTAGCCAGGTTCTCCCAGCATCGATTCTGAGGGACCAGAAGCGAGAAGGCTAGGCTGAGAGTTGAGTAACCATAGCTAGATTCTCGTGTCCAGGACTTGAGTTGGGAGTCCTGGAGTCACCCAACATTCACTACTCATGATGCTGTAGTGATGTCATAAATGGAGCTGGCCCCCAGCCCACCCCTGGCTTCCTCAGAGTGCAGCAGAGGAACCAGGGGGAAAGTCTACCTCCCCAAGCACAGCCCTATCATCCACCTCACTCGACTGCTTGTCAATCTCACTACCAACAGGAAGGGGTGAGTGGCATCTGAACAGCAATGATTGTTCTTGTGCATCCTGTGTCCTAAGAACAATCTGCATCAACCCCAGTACCGAGGAAGGCTGGGAGGGTTTTGTTTTGTAAAAGTTTCTTGTTATTTTCAGTATCGAGGACTAGAGTGAATATTACCCATTTTGGAGCTCCATTTAAAGATCTGCCTCCCGAGAGAGTCATACTGACTTTTAAACTGCATTTCATGGAATTTTACTTTTTATTATTAAATAAAAATCGAAGGCATACCAACTAAAGCCAACTTCTAAAGTATTGTTAGAAACTAAAAACCCTGTCCAAATCCAGGAGTCAAACTATCCATAGAGAAAGACCTATGGAAAGCCTAGGGCAAAACTCAACAGAAAAGGAATTCCCTTCTGGAAATCATATGTCTTGCTTCTAACATTCATAAATTCACAAAATTAGATGCCCCACTTAATCTCTTCTCTCCTGACTTCTTCCTTTTCCTGACTAGTTGGCAGAGCCTGACAATCCCCTGAGGGGAAGGGAGGGATGGTTCTAGAATGGTTCATGGGACTAAGAATGGTCTCAGTTGTCTTCCCTGCCTCAGTCTACCAGAGAAGAAAGCAGTTTTCAAGACTGCATGGCTTAGGAAAGAACTCCCAAGTGTGCCTGCAGTTCCAAGCCTGTTCACTAACACACCTCCAGAAGGTAGAGAAGCAGCCTGCTGGGGGGTTTGCTGAGCCAGCGATGCGTTCATCAATGCAATCAAAGAAAAGTTATGGACCCCTTGAAATAATGACTTGCATGAATTACACTAAACCCACGAGTTTACAAAAAATACCAACAACACTGAAATTACTGGTCTTATGGTTGTTGGGACATCCCAGGACCCTAAGAATACCTGCTTAGAGTCTAGAACAGAAACAGGATGAAAGAAAATCAAAGTGAGTGCAGACACCCAGACATACCCCAAGTCCACAGGCAAGGACAGCTTGCTTAGATGTTCTAGAGCTTAAACACATGAGAACAGCATGGTCCAGCAGGAAGAAGTCCATGAATTGTCCCTCACTGACACTCTGTCTCTCATTTCTTCTCAGGCCTCCATATCCAAGAAAAAATGTCGAGTGATGATAAAAATAAGCCCCTTGATCCCAAGAACTGTGATCCCAGATGTGAACAAAAGTGTGAGGCCAAATGCCAGCCCAGTTGTCTAAGGAAGCTGCTGCAGCGCTGCTCTGACAAGTGTACCCGGGAAAAGTGCCCACCACCACCCAAGTGTCCTCCATGTCCCCCATGTCCCCCGCCATGCCCCCCACCGTGTTCCCCACCAACTGCCCCGCTGTGCCCCCCACTGTGCTCCCCATCATGTCCACCACCGTGCCCACCAACATGCCCCCCTGTGGTATGTGTTAAGACTTGCCCTCCCAAGTGCCCCTTCTCATGCCCACCCCCAGACTGAGGCACCATGGGCAACACCAACCCCACCACCATTGGCCTCCATTACCACCTACAACCTTGTGGGGCTAGAAGCAAAACCATGAACTGACAAGTAAACCTGTTCCTCTGCTGTGCAAGACTTCTGCCGTCTTAGAGGATTTGCTTTGTCTTGCGGTGGTTGTTACACAGCGCTATGCCAAGAAGCAATCCTTGGCAGTGAGATCTCCGAGAACTCCACAGCCTCTGCCTGTCACTTAGAGGAAGGTGCCTTTCCAGAGAACGCCAAGCCCTGCTAGAGCAAAGTCTGAATGGTTTCTTAAATGTGATTGTGTCTGGGAAAGTATGTAACTCCAGAAAACAAGACATGGGGAGTGTGTGTGTGTGTGTGTG